GGTGTGATCTCGGCTCACTGCAACCTCTGCCTCCTGGGTTCAAGCAATTCTCCTGCCTCAGCCTCCCTAGTAGCTGGGATTATAGGCTCACGCCACCACGCCTGGCTAATTTTTGTATTTTTAGTAGAGATGGGGTTTTACCATGTTAGTCAGGCTGATCTCGAACTCCTGACTTCAGGTGATCCACCCTCCTCAGCCTCCCAAAGTGCTGGGATTACAGTCATGAGCCACGGCACCTTGCCTTAATTTTTTTTTTTTTTTTTTTGGATAGTTGGGGTCTTGCTATGTTACCCGGGCTGGTCTCAAACTCCTGGGATCAAGTGGTCCTCCTGCCTTGGCCTCCCAAAGTGCTGGGACTATAGGCATGAGCCACTACATCCGGCCAATAATATTTGTTGAATCAATGAATGGATGAATGAATGATCCCAACACCCACACTCCCAGCAGTCTGGGTACCTGACCAGGGAGACAAAGGGGTACAGGCTCCCGTCTCTGCAGCAAAAGCACACGTCCATGCTGTGGCCCCACATCTCTTGCTTCCCAGGTTAGTGCTGGGCACATAGTAGGTGCTTCATCTAGCCAGGAAGGCAGGAATAGCATCTCCCTCACCTTTCATTGTCTGTGTTTTTTTTTTCTCTTTTTTTTTTTTTTTTTGAGACAGAGTTTTGCTCTTGTTGCCCAGGCCAGAGTGCAGTGGTGCGATCTCAGCTCACTGCAACCTCTGCCTCCCAGGTTCAAGCAATTCTCCTGCCTCAGCCTCCCGAGTAACTGGGATTACAGGTATGTGCCACCATGCTCAGCTAATTTTTTGTATTTTTAGTAGTGACGAGGTTTCTCCATGTGGGTCAGGCTGGTCTCTACTAAACAAACAAACAAAAATAGCCAGGGGTGGTGCTGCATGCCTGAAATCCCAGCTACTGGGGAGGCTGAGGCAGGAGACAATTGCTTGAACCTGGGAGGTGGAGGTGGCAGTGAGCCAAGATCATGCCACTGTGCTCCAGCCTAGGTGACAGAGCAAGACCCTGTCTCAAAAAAAGAAAAGAAAAGGAAAAAAGCCCTTGTCATCCATCATTATCCCCGCCAACTCCACCAGCTCTGTGCACTGGGAGGCAGGAAGCTAAAAACCTAAGTCTGGAACCTGGCTTCATCTCTTACTAGCTGTGTGGCTTTGGGCAAGGGTCTTAACCTCTCTGAGCTCCAAGGAAAACACACATGTGCTTGGAATAGTCCTGGCACACAATAAGGTTTTTGTAAATATTGGTGATGATTATTACTACTGCCATCTGTACCGAGATTCAAACTTTCAAGATCCCTACATCCAGACCAATTCCCAACCTCTGTACTCTCTCTCTGCCCGCACCCTCTGCCCTGGTTCATGCTGGCTTCTGTGTCTCCACCTGTGAGTGAGGATTAACAGCAGGGAGGAAAGTGAGTGGTTAATGAATCTGCCTGCCACAGCCATAAGAGGCTTCTTGGCCTGGGTTCAAATCCCACCCCTGCCACTTACCAGCTGGGTGGCCGTGGGCAAGTCACTTCACTTCACAGGGCCTCAGTTTCTTCATCTGAAAAATGGGTGGAATTCCTGTCACTCTCAAGGTGGTTATGGAAATCCAAAGAGATTGCGCATGTATCCCTTCTACACTCTGCCTCAGACTCCATGTAAGGAAGCTGTTGTCATTATTACTGGTATCTCCTCCTCTGTCCTGCCCTGCCCAGGAATATCCCAGCCCTCTCTGCCTGCCGACCTACTCCAGGCTCACTCCTCCAGGCAGCCTCCCAGGCTTGCCCCAGCATGTTGGATCCACCCATGTGGTACAGACAGCTCAGGCCCATGAACTTAATTGCATGCTGCCCTGGCAGAACTCTTGTCTTCCAGCCTCAGGCTGTCATTTAACTTCATGTCTCTATTTTAAAACGTAAACGAGATGGCATCACTGCCCTGACTGAAACTTTACAACGGTTTCCCACCTTCTGGAAGAAAAATTGCACACTCCTTACTGTGACCCACAAACCCCTGCAGAATCCCTGCTCTGGGTTCATCTTCTGTTCCAACCGGATTCCAAGCTTGGTCCAGCCTAAAGAAAGACCTTGGCCTTGCCCCATCTATTTTTTTTTGTTTTGTTTTTTTCTTTGAGATGGAGTCTTGCTCTGTTGCCCACGTTGGAGTGCAGTGCCATGATCTCGTCTCACTGCAACCTCCACCTTCCAGGTTCAAGCGATTCTCCTGCCTCAGTCTCCCAAGCAGGTGGGATTACAGGCATGCACCACCACGCCTGGCTAATTTTTAGTAGAGGCAGGGCTTCCCCATATTGGCCAGGCTGGTCTCAAACTCCTGACCTCAAGTGATCCACCTGCCTCGGCCTCCTAAAGTGCTGGGATTACAGGCATGAGCCCCTGCGCCCAGCCCCCTCATCTGATCTGTGTGGCGCTGGCACCCCCTGCCCACAGCTCTCTATAGTACTACCCACACATGTTTTATTCATAGCACTTAGTGTCATCTGAAATTATCTTATTTACTTGATAACTTGCTTGTTGGCTGCTTCCTTTCAGAATGCCAACTCCTCAAAAGCAGGAATTTTTGTTCACTTATGGTATTTTCTGTGCCAAGAACAGTGCCTAGCATGTGCCCATAGTAGGTGCTCACTTTAAATATTTGTAGAATGAATGAATGAATGAATGTGTCTCAGGTCCTCATTCTGACTGCTCTCTGCACACCTCCATCCTCAAAACAGCCCCTCAAACATGCCTACTGTGGGGTTACTGTCCTCGCCTCCCCACTTTCCCTGGCTCCCCTCACACCTGAACGCAGAGATGAAGAAGAGAAACTTCGGCCTGGATATTAACTGTTTGGGCTGGAATTTCAGCATCTGACCCCCTCATCCTGGCAAGGGCCTGAAGCTTCACAACCCCACAGCCATCCAGAAGCATAGTGTGGTCAGCAGGTGGAGGGGAAGGGGTTCCTGGGAGCACACAGAAGCTAGGGGAAGGGGGAAATCACGCCCAGGCTCCCCCTTCCCACACCGTGTTGCCTTGGAGAGAAGGAGGGAGAGAGGCCTCTGATTCACTCTTGAAAAACCGGCTCCTGGGTGTTTCCTGGGAGAACACCTACTGCTCAGCCTTGGCCCAGGTTGCCAGGGGGTACCCAGCAGGCCCAGGACCCCAGCATCCTGGGCCCCTGCAGATGTCACTCTCTTCTCTGGACCCAGGTAGTCAAACCTGCCCTCTCCAGCTCAGGGGAGAAGGGACATGAGGGCAGCTTCCTGTTTGAGTGGCTGGTGCCTGGTGATCTTTGGGGGTTGTGGGGGTGGGGGGGAAGGAAACAAAAGACCAACAAGTGTGGCCCTGATGATGAGTATGGGGTAGGGGTGGGAGGGGTAGGGGGCTGGAGCTACTCAGCAACAACTTAACTATGGAGCCAGTGGGTATCAAGTCTAGTGGCTGAGACTCCAGTTCTGGACCCTGGGGCATGAGTTCCAGTCCCAGATGTGCCAGTTACTAGCTGTGTGACCTTGAGCAAGTCACTCCACCTCTCTGAGCCTGCTGCCTCACCTTTTTCACAAGAAGGCACAACACCTCCCATGAAGTGTTTTGATTCAATCAATGATCCGCATGGTAAATGCCTGACACGGAAGCGCTCCATAAATGCTAGCTGGGGTGGAGTTTTTCATGATGATTATTATCCAGGTCCTCACTGCGTCCCCCCAGGCCCTGGAGGGTTCAGACGCGGTTTGCTCAGGGAAAGTGGACAGGAAAGGGTCAGAAACACCGACCCCGCGCCTGTCCTCGCCGGGATGGGGATCTTCCAGAAGGGAAGGGGGGAGGGGCAAGCCCGGAGACCCCCTACCCGGCGCTGGGAGGCGTTTGGTTTCTGCCCCCCAGCAGGAAGGGAGCTGCCCCCACCACCCCCACCCTCGCTTCCCCCAGGAAGGGGCCTCCGGCATCCCCGCGCTCAGCCTAAACCTCCAGTCGCGTCCACGGGGCCTGCCCCACCCTGCACGATCGGCCGGTTCCTCGCGGGTCCGCGACATCCAGGGCCCCCAGAGTGGACACATCCCTCCCGCGGGGGCCACTCACCTGCGCCGCCGCCGCCGCCGCCTCCCCGCGCGCACCCGGCTCGGCCCTCTGCAAACTCCTGCCTGGGCCTCTCCCGCAGCGGCGCCTAGGAGGGCGGGGCCGACGCCCGCGGAAGGCCAATTAGCGGCTGTCTCCCGGAGTTCGCGGCCAATCCGCGCCTCCCTCTTCGGGTGGACCCGACGGAAACATTCCAGAGGGATCCCTCCGCCTCACCCAGCTCTTCCCGACTCCCCCCGCGCCGCGAAGTAGTGGACCGTCCCACCCTGCCTGAGCCGCGGCGGGCTGTACCACCAGAGGGCTGAGGAGGGGGGCGGAGCTGTGGCTGGGTCCCGGCCAATCGCGGGGAAGGAAGGAGGCGAGCGGCCAATGGGAAGGAAGCTGGGGCCCCTGAACCACGTGCTGTTGGCTGAATGTCCGTCTGGGGTGCCCTGGAGGGTGAGGGGCGGGGGAGTCAGGTGACCGAGGCCAGGTTGCGGGACAGTATGCGAACTCCCGACGTCCGGGAAAGTGGACTGTTTAGGAGGCTTGAGTAGGGGTCGATGGCAGCCCTCAACCCAGTTCCCCGCCCGGCCTCCTCTGCCCCAGCCTGGCCATCCTCGGAGTGAATAAAAAGATGCATTCATACTCTGTGGGCGGGCGGAGACAGAGATGAATACGGAGGGTCGCGAGCGTCCCTGCTTCCTGGAGTGTACAATGGAGAAAGGCATTCATTCATTCATTCATTCACTCATCAAATATTTAATGTGCCCCCTGCTCCGTGCCAGGCTCTGTCCTACAGACAAACGCGTGAGCGAATAAGCCGAATATGCTTCCAGTAGAGATAACAGAGTGTGCAAAAGCCAGACAGAGATACAGCACGCTTTAGGATAGTGCAACATCATGGGAGCTGATAAATCAGTGTGGAAAGGCAAGATGAAATGAAAGACAAGAGTGAGATAGTTTTTATTTGCTTGTTGATTTGTTGGTCACTTACTACGTGCTAGATCACAGAGGGTACCCAGCCAGCCTCCGACCTTTCATGGATCTGTCTCCATCTGACTGTGAGGATGAACGGTGAGTCTCTCTTGTCAACCCCTCACTCCCACCTCAGGCTGCCACATAGCAGGTTCTCAGCAAACCTTTGTGGACAAATGCACCAGGTAGTTTATAAGGAACAGGGATTTCTCAGGAGGGCACAGATCCAAGAAACATGAGTCACAAACGCACCTGGAACAGGCCAGGACGCTCAGTTCCCAGGACAGGTGAGATTTCCTTGTTCTAGTTCAAACCCAACCACTTGGACAGCAACTGAATGCTGTGTGTTCTGGGAACTGTAGTTCCTGGAAGTCTCTAAGCGCTGAGACCCTGCTCAAGCTTCATCGGAAGACTGGTTCTTTACAGTTTCCAGGGTGAGACGTTGTGCATCTCAGCCCCACCAGGACCTGCAGAGGGGTAAAGTGAAAGGGGAGATGGAGGCCGAGCGTGGTGGCTCACGCCTGTAATCCCAGCACTTTGGGAGGCTGAGGCGGGCAGATCATGAGGTCAGGAGATCAAGACCATCCTGGCTAACACGGTGAAAGCCTGTTTCTACTAAAAATACAAAAAATTATCGCCGGGCGCGGTGGCTCAAGCCTGTAATCCCAGCACTTTGGGAGGCCGAGGCGGGCGGATCACAAGGTCAAGAGATCAAGACCATCCTGGTCAACATGGTGAAACCCCGTCTCTACTAAAGCTACAAAAAATTAGCTGGGCATGGTGGCGCGTGCCTGTAATCCCAGCTACTCAGGAGGCTGAGGCAGGAGAATTGCCTGAACCCAGGAGACGGAGGTTGCGGTGAGCCGAGATCGCGCCATTGCACTCCAGCCTGGGTAACAAGAGCGAAACTCCGTCTCAAAAAAAAAAAAAAAAAAAAAATTATCCAGGCGTGGTGGCACGCGCCTGTAGTCCCAACTACTCGCGAGGCTGAGGCAGGAGAATGGCTTGAACCTGGGAGGCAGAGGTTGCAGTGAGCAGAGATTGCACCCACTGCACTCCAGCCTGGGCTACAGAGCAAGACTCTGTCATGAAAAGAGAAAGAAAAGAAAAAAGAAAAGAAAAAAAAGAAAAAAGAAAAGAAAAGAAAAGAAGGAAAGGAAAGGAAAGGAAAGGAAAGGAAAGGAAAAAGGAAAGGAAAAAGGAAAGGAAAGGAAAGGAAAGAAGGAAGGAAGGAAGGAAGGAAGGAAAGAAAGGAAAAGAAAAGAAAGAAGGAAGGAAGGAAGGAAGGAAAAAGAAAGAAAGAAAAGAAAGAAA